TTTTCGCTTACCCGCCCTGCTGTATGCAGCAAGTAAGGCGACCCGGCTGATGGCACCACGCGACGGCCGATGTGGCATGAGAATATTGTTAGGTGTGTAGGTCATGGTTGTAAGTGGGCTGGGATACTGCCAGGGCGCCCACACCTAGACAGGAGGACGATTAGGGTCCTCAACCAAAGCCTTTGGCTCAAAAGCCTAATCGCAAGGCAGCGGTTTGTTTGGCGGGAAATGCAAGTGCATTACCATTTTTACGGAACAAGTCGCCACATGTTCCAACCCCCAACCTGGAGGGCCAGGAGACTGTGTTCGTCAGACCTCTAACCATTGACCAACCTGGTATGAGAGACTCTGTGAGTGTCGCGGGACAGTCTCCAATATAGCTCAATGGATCGCTGAGGTGCGCAAACCGTCACACCACGGTAAGGTCCAGTCTCTTCGTGACGGGCTCCCGCCCTAGACACTAGGAGGACGTGGAAGTAGACAGAGGCTTGGGGAATGCTACTCATGTAAGCGTGGGAAGCTCTGAGGAGATGCGTCTTCATACTAACAAACAAGTGGGCTATTGGGAAGCGAATCCATATCCATGATACAGCCAGGACCCTAAAGACCTGTGCAACATGCGAAAGTTCATTAGTAGTATCAGTCCTGTGGATCACCGATGTACTCACTAGTCCACTAGCTAAAGTTAACCGGAACCAAGGAGATTTTATTTTATTTTATTTTATCATCAGTACTCGATTGGCGCTGGTATTCAAAGAATAGTTAGTGAAATCAAGGTCATGCAGTCTATTGTCGCCTGGACGATGAGCTAATCAGTTAACAACGTGAATATTTTTACGGCTATATACGCGGAGAGGTATGGAATCACACTTAAATTCGAAGGCTTTGCGAGATGACGCAGGTACCTAAGTGATGGGATAGTCTTGATCAGCCAAGCTTAGTGGTTTTCTGAACAAGTACGTTCATTCGGTGGACTTGTTTCTGCACTTCTGAAGGGAGCGGTGCTTCCTTCGTGGGCAACAAGAAGAGAACCTGAGACTCGGTGGGTACTACTACTACTACGGGCAGCAGCACACAACGGAGTATTGGAGGAAATGGGGGAATAACACAGCGTATGTGTTTGTCGTACTATCATACGATCCAAAGGAGATCACAATACAATAAATTAACACATCCAGCTAACCGCCCCCCTTGCCTGCGACACTGAATTTGGCTGGTGAGACTATGTATCAGCTTAAGGTATGAGAATTTAACATTTTATTTGACTACCATTGGTACCTATAACGGCGCAGCCAGTCGATAAACCCTGTACAACCAACCCTTGTAATAGCATCACCTTACTTTTTCCGTAAGGTGACACAAGGGGAGAGTGATGTTACAACGAGATTGAACACGGACAAAGTTTAGTATCAGATGTACAGAATATGTATATGTAGAAAGTCACGTTACTATACTGTATTGTAACAAGATGGACAAGTAATATAATCGTCCAGACGCAACCCTCTTTCGGTGCCTAACTGCCATGTCACCCAAAGGAAGTACGTGGGCTGAGATACTGCCAGGCCGTCAAGCCTAGACAAGAGCAGTCGAGATGCAGAGGTTGGGTTCGAACCACGAACCCTCAGTACAGTAAGTTCACGCCTTAACGAATGAGCCAACTCGATTTCTACTCCACTGTCCAAAACGTAGCCTTAACACACAAATTGTTTTATTGACTGGGAACTTAAAATAACCTCTAAACGAGATTTGCGTTTTGGTTAATAGCATAAACCCCTCATTAGGTCTGTTGCCAGCAGATCCCGGCCCCCACTGCTATCACTGTTCCTGCTACGTCTTCTTCGGTGAACTCCCGATACATCAGCGGATCATAGGAATTATTGCGGAACACACAAAAACTGAGATTGCTTGCATGGGCGCTACTTCAACATGACAACGATAGACATCTTTCTTACTTTTGTCAAAGATGAAAGCTTTGCTATAAATCGGCCACTCGGCTGACACCGGTTGATCGTCCGACACTGGACGACTGACAACATAGTCACACACAATGTGGCGATCACCGTTGCGTTGCGCACAGTGTGATTACTTACTTTGAGCAGTGTCTTGTCCTCTGATAACTTCAGACAAACATTCTGAAATGTCAACTCGCCACGCACTATGGGATTAGACAGAATTCGGCTACGTGCACTGCATTTATGGTCCCATTCCACACGGAATATCCAAGACTGTGTTTTTATTGAGGGTCGAACATTAACATGGTCATCCTCAGGACGTATGACAGTTCTGACCGTCACAGTCAGACGTCTTTACTCAGTTAGTCATGTGTGAATATACATTGGCGTCTTTTATCTGATTTGATCGACTATGCTTTTCATCCCGGTGTTTACACCAGTTGTGTATGTATTCGGTTTCCAAACAGAAATACCACTTATTTTCGCAGGATCACTTGACGCTTGGTTTCACGTGATCTCACCGCAAACCATCGTTTTCAATTGAAACAATAGGACTGAACCGTTATTCTGGCAAATAACATTCAAAGTACTTTATTAAAGAAAATAGGCGGTTTTACTTATTTCGAAATCTTGCTCAGGAACTAAGCGACCGTTGCATCATCACTTGAATACCAACCGAAAGCATCGACCCAACAGATGATCTTTCTGATTCCCATTGCCTTACTGAATTTATTGCTGGGAGCGAAAAGGTGCACAACAACAGTGTTTGTCATGCCAAATACACTCAAAGGAATCTTTACAGCGGCGCAGCAAGATCGAGCGAAAATGTTGAGTTCTGTCTCTAACAATACTTCATTCAGAGGTGAATTGATGGAATGGCCAGTGACGTGAAGATGTAACCAAACGTTAGATTCTCCTACAATTGGATAGAGTGCGCAAGAAAACCTCGCTATAGTGCCGGTACGCGCGACAGTTCAAGGAAGATTCCAGCTTACAAAAAGGTGTACATCTCGCGTAGGAGCTGTTCATGGGTAAGCAGAAAGAACCAAACTTCAACGCAGTAAAAGCGTTATCCAAACCATGGCGAATTTACTCGCAGGACATTATAATATGCCCAACGAACGAGACGTTTTCTACAGTTGGTCGGTATTGAGAATATATTTCGTAATTATAGAGTTATAGTACAGGTGTTTTGATTATCAATGACGTCGTACACAAGAGGCATCTCATTATCTAGCGCATGAATTAAAATTCCAGTATTTCGCCCACTGTCTACAGAACTGAGAACGCAACAAAAGCCCGTGATAAATAGATTGGATAGTTCAGTTACCCTGAAGAACGCGGTCGACGACACTTAAACCATTAGATGCGTACCGGAATGTTTTAGTTCTCACTAACGTTTGACATGGTTCTAAAATTCTCTGGAGAGCGTGGGGATTCAGGCTTCTGTAAAGAGTTACAGAATGCAGGAACTTTCCACATCTGATCCCTGAGAAAACTCAACGAAGTATGTACATATGCGACAGAGTAGTAAATGTGATCAATCTCGGGCAAGTTATGATAACCTTAATCGGCAAAATCGACCTACCCGAGGAAAGCACCTACGAACCAGAATGACACCAGTTTTCTGATCTCGCTACCCTAAAAAATGTAGATGCTGACAGATAGTATACACAGCTCGAGGTGACCGCTAGAGTGTACATCATTTCTTTGAGAGTTGAACAGCAAGTAGCAGCCTTTGATATGAGATTGGCCGATCAAGAAGAGCTGCTTGAAACAAGCGATGAAGAAATCTCCTCAGCACATTTTCATGAAAGCCATGGTAGCAAAACTAGGTGTGGACTGTATACCAATGATTAAGGAACAGACAGTAGCTGCTACTGGAAGTAGTCCTATCAACCTATTCGTTAAAATTCGACACCAAGAGGGTAGTAAATCTGTTGGCAAAGCGAGAAAAACCAGGTCATGATGAAGTTGCTTTATCAAAAGCTTCAAGCAACAGTTACTAACCGATGTGTGCTGTAATTTGGACTACTTAAGCGAGTACAGAGGTACCTGGAGATGGGCGCTACTTACCCCCAGCTTGTTTCGGCGCAACAATAGTGTGTACCGGTTGACGATTCCATGCAGCAGTACACTTCCGACGGCTGCGTCGGATTGTCTGGACAAAGGTAGTAGTGATAGTCTCTCTTCGAACCATTTTCAACGGTAGATCGATAGCCGTCACAAACAGTATACGGATCTGGACAGCACAGGTTAAAACAAGAAATAATATAAACGAAAGGCAGGACTCAGTTCAATCGAATAATGGTAGACCATCAACAAATGACAACTACCTTCCGATGCCATAAAATGTAAGGAACTTTTACAATTACATTGCAATACTGCTATACGAACCCACCACCTGTGATCAAGTTAGATACACCGTAGCAACTGCAATCACGGGACCACTGAGATTGCAACCAATATTAAATTTCGTTTGGTATTTTATCAGTAATTTCGGAACGACCTGCTATTATCACGATCCACAGTTTGATTTGTCCCTTAATGATACCCAGCTCAACAGACGATATTCGGCCTTAGCGCCCAAGACGACTCAAGCGACAGGGACGTTACGAACATCAACAAAGTCAAGAGACATATATTGTGGAAAAATTCAACTGAAAATTTAAAATCATTTGAAACTGTGAAACCGTGGTCAAGAATTGTAGACATATTTCTGATCAAGTAAAGACAGGGTATGCGTGGAGGAATGATGTGGCTCGCTCTCAGAGTTCTGGTTCAAGTGGTTAGAGCGCCAATTTACTGACCGGAAGGTTCGTGGTTCGAACCCTATCTGTGCCCTCGACTTCCCCTGTCTAGGCTTCGGCGACCTGGCAGTATCCCAGCCCTCGTGTGGCATGGCAGTTAGGCACCAGAAGGATGTTACAGCTGAACGATTTTTTTTATTACTTATTAGTTAGCCATAAGGTCGCGAGATAGTTCACGACGACGACAATGTGAAAGTGAGGGAGATGAGACGGAAGTGCAACTGCAGGATTGCAAGATCTAATAAGAGAGTTCATTTTGAGCAGCCCATCTTGACTAACAGACAATCATTTAAGAAACGCCTGGAAGCGAGTGAGCAGTCGTAGTTTTAGAAGAGTTTGGAAAGCGATGGGGTTTCCTGTAGAATATCCAATCCTAGCTTACATAACTGAGACATATCAGTCTGAAGACGCAGTAACTCTGATTCATGATAAATGCACACGACAAACGAGTTTAGAAGCGCGTCAGACTGTTCGTAAGATCTGTTGATTGTCCGACAGTAACATTCATTGAGTTATTCAACCCTAAGATGCTTAAAGCTGTACTTTCCAACCTGTTCTGTTGCAGTGGAAGCTTACTTGTTTGGTATAGAAATGTTGGTTGCATCAGGAAAACCGGTTCGGTCACAACAAACCCGCAATCTGATTAGTCCATTCTGTAAAAGGAATGCAGAACGGCTGTCTCTGCCTCATGGAGCAGAGATGTGGCCTCTACGAGGAGAGTACATAGGAGATGTCCGTTTGATCATCGGTGCGTGGGAACACCGCACTCGTTATCCTGAGGTATACCAGATAGTCATATGAAGAAGGAACTCTCCCGCGATTGACGAATTACCCACAGCCTACCGAAAATCCACAAACCAGATGTCCCGGTGAGACCAATAGCAGACGGAATACGTTCCCCACTCCATGTGCCGGACAGATTCATTGCAGGTATTTTGAAGCTCCTCATCGGGAAATCTAGCGCTTACATCAAGAATTCATATAGCTGCCAACTAAGTATCGGGTATCAGCGTAGAACCAGATGACATTCTTGTAAGTTTCCATGTCAATTCATATACAAATGTGCCAAAAAGAGATTGGTTTGGAAACACCCAAGCAACTGTTACTAGCAGACACTAACCTTTCAGATTGAACACAGCTTACGGTAGATGAAATAGTGGAGGGTATAAAAGCATGTCTGAGTCTCAACCACTTCGTTTTTGACTCCGTGGTTCATACTCAAGAACAAGGTATAGCAATGGATCTTCAATATCCCAGGTTTTGGCAAATATATTTATGAAAGATTTTGAGCAGAAAGCTTTAGTCGGATTCCCATACCCACCCAGGATATTCTGGAGTTATATAGATGACACCATCGTCGTAATGAAACGAAACAAGGTTAGTGAGTTTTACAACCTTCTGAATGAAATAAATCCATACATCAAATTTAGCATGAAGATAGAGTCAACTTCGGGTACACTGGCCTTTTTAAACTGCATGACAGAGGATCGGGGGAAAACTGAAGACCACAGTGTACGAAATACCAACGGACACTAGGGCAATTTTGAACTACTCATCTGCACATCCGAATTCGGCACATCGCTAGTATTGCTCCATCCATGTTTAGGAGTGTGAGGGCCCTGTGCTGATCGGACAGCGGCCCAAATTGAAGTAAAGGACCAACTTCGGGGTAGTGGATATCCAGCTAGTTTGATTAGGCGTCACTTGCGAAGGGTGTTGGTACCGGTAGCGGAACCCAACAGGGAGTGGATTGGGACTGCTGTTATTCCCTATGAACTAGGGACATCGTAGGCTATTCGAAGAATTCTTAACACGGCTAACATGAGTTTAGCTTTCCAGAGGGGAAACACTCTGCACTGGTGCAATTGAAGGATCACCTCCCAGCAAACAGAACCAGAAACTGTGTAACGATTGTACTACGGTCTATAGAAGACAGACGACCAGGGAACTTCACACCAGAATCAGAGAGCGTAGGAGAAAAATAAACAAGCCACCAAGAAACGCAGACGAATATTGGGCGTTACTGAAAGACTCGGCAATTGCGAAATACGCACTAGACACGGGACACAAAGTAGATGTAGAAAATGCTAAGGTTAATCCGTTGTTCTAACGATTCGGATTTGATATCAAGCAACCGCTTACGCATCACCTCGTTGCACACTCAATGCAGCTACCTAAATCTTGTTATGCTACGGAGTAACCAATGACCAAGCCTACGGTCCTCGGATCGGAGGGGTTAATTCTCACAACCATAAAAACCGTTCTTACAATTACCATTTAGCCCCAGAGAAATTCATTTTCGAAGGGATAAATGAACAAGCTGGCGGAAGTTGTGCACGGCATGGTTATTCATCTGTTATAATAATGTCACGGGTTATGCGGATATGTGAAGTGATCAACCAAATCAAGCTTAGTGGCCACCATTACAACGTGAGCTACCAATGTTAGCTTCAACTATAAACTTAAGCCTCTCAACTGAAATTTCAGAGACGCAGGAGACCATTGGAAATGTCGAACAATGTATTTTGTAGGTGCAAAATGTATAACATTCTTTGTGGCATATTTTGTCAGATAATGTCAAGACGATGTCGACCGCATACTTCGAGTCCAAGGGGTGATTTCGGTTGCTACATTCATGGCCCAATGAGAAAGTCGGACAAAAATTGAACAAAAGCGAACAAAGTGGGTAATTATGACGAACTCTACTAGTTGTCAGGATGCTCGGGACAGTTCATTGCACATCCTAACCCAAGCGGAAGTGCGGGAATAAACAGCACGAAGAACATCCAAGAACTTCAAGGGCCTTCCCTTATGGTTAAGAAGATCTAGGGGAGCTAGGTTATCTGCCTTGTCGAGAGATCCTTTGAAGTCAAGAAAAACCGCGATTTTCAGCTGGCAGTATATGTGGCGCTGCTCAAAGGCTTGATGTGCTGTGAAGATATGATATGATAAAACTTGATGTGTCACCGATGGCTACTGCGGGCTATGCTGCAAGTTAAGTGCAACGTTGAGAAGAACGCCCTTACATCAACGCTGCAAAGCTCTGTACTTCAGGATAAACTGAGCGATAAACGGTCAAAATGGGTGCTACCTTCGTACTGAAAATATACATATAGAAAGCAGGCTGGGTAACACGATCAAACAGCTATTAACTAGTAAATGCGGCCAAACGTACCCAAATCCCGATAGCTATGAATCCGCACACGTGGACGCAGTAACTGTGAGATATAGATACCAGCCAATGCACTTCTCACTGAAAATGCATTCCTAACACGCGAGGAAGATCTGCGAAAGGCGAGACAGGGAGATAGAAACCGGAATTCGGAATTAACGAGCACACAGGAAAGCTGTCACGAAACTGTGTGAGGCAAAGGGTATACACCGAGGTTAACTTACAAACCAGATTTACGGTTAGTTGAACGGAACCATGATGACGAACGGACTTTGCTTCGAGTGGATGAAGAGGAAGAACGAGTTCGGCCCTTTCCACGACCTCCACTTTGAACCTCAACTAGAAAAAATATGGTGAAGATTGTTCGGCAAGTCTCAACAAGGAAAACTGCCATACACGAAAGTCAAAACGCCGAGAAGCAAAACAGAATACAGTCATTGATCAAAAACTTGCGAAAAACAGGCGAATCCGTTCGCGTCACCCAAAAATTACATTTTGTTGGAAACTATGTGAAAATGATCCACTGTCAGCAAGTGCTCCATGCTCCAAGCATGAGCATATTTGCTGAAAAGCTTGAAAATTCATCCAGTTTAAATCCATGGAAGACGTGAGGTCTTCTTTCGAAACAAAAAGGGAACCGTAACTGAGTGTTGTGCCCGAACTGTGAAGAAATGTAGAAAACCTTGGGCTTAAAGGCACCAGTTACGTGCTCCCGATTTAAACATTTCCCCCAACCACGATTTAGCTTTTCAAAGCTGTTTTTACGAAACCTTTAGCCTCCAAGTGTCGCCGTGCGTAAAACTACACTTTCAAACCCCCATATTTTTCTAAATAAATTCACTTTGTCATTGGCAAACGAAAACGGTGCAAAGATGAAGAAACTTACTGGGCTCGTCCGTACCATCCTAGTGCGTGCCTTGTTTGGTGTACTTTACTCGATCGGTTGGCATGAACACTGTTTTAAAGTTCAGGATATTACAATCGCAGTAAATGACGACTAACCCGAAGCCCACTGCCGATTTCGTTTCGAACATCAGGTAAGCATATTCCCTGCAAGTCAAGGTATCTTCGTCGCTTGGATGTCAATGTGCTCATATGTTAGATAAAGTGCCGATTTGCATATTGAATGCGTGCGCATCCTTTGGATAATGAAATAGGCGTTGGATTGTCGAGGAATTTCGACCACCCTTTCTTACAGATCGAAAAACTGGAGCTGCCTTCCTATAGGATCGGAGGATCCGGTTTATTAGGTCGATTTTACAAACAATTTCAACACATTTAAATAGGAAAGATGCGCTTGAACCATGTGTTTTCTAACTAGTGTTCGTGAGCTGTGTCCATACCAACACTCTCAACCACCATCACTCATCATAAGAATGGTCAGATATTTCAATAGAAAGGTGCGAAAAACCTACGGCTTAATTCAGTTAGTAGGCTTTGAGACATGAGTTGCCGCTGCTACAAATTCGCTCGTCCAGAAATGGGAGAACAGGGTGGAGACTCCGAGGGAGAGCCTAACCAGTTCATCAATTTGGACTGGATGAAGTATGACAGGTACGCATCGAAGCCAACGGCTTTGTGGCGGAAACGGCACTAGCTACGAGAGTTTAGAATACGATCAGTTTATTGGTTAAGGATTTAGTACTTTTTGAAGTCCAAACGGTGTCTACCTTTTAGTTGGTTCTGCTCAGCGTAAGATTGGACAAAGAAAATTCGGTGGATTACACGGCCCCAAAGTACATGATCCAACGACCGTAACCTATGAGATGTGGCTGGATCTTCTATCGCAAGAAATTCTCGTCCTCAACACTATCAGTGATTTGTTGTTCGCATCAAAGGCGGGCAATACCTGGGGGACATCCACGGAAAAATTAAGTTTTGCCATCATTCGCGCATATAGCCAAGTCTTTTATATGGTAGTAGTACAGATCACACAACCTCAACATACCCTGCATGTATCTAGCAGACATGGCACAGGGGCCATATTGTTGGAGTTAGACTGAAGCCTGGTTTTCATGATTCAATAAGGAAACAAATGTGTAAAATTCCGTCATCCTCATCTCATTTTGCCTATGTTACCGAACTGGCACCATTCAAAAGGTCAAACAAGCATCCACTGGATACCAGTCCGATCAACTGTCCAACAAACGTACCGAGAGCCCAACCGTCTTGAATCTTGCAAAAGCGGTCAATCGGGATTTCTACATTGTTTTAAGTTACCCGATTCCTAACCCTGCCATCAGATTAGTGAACGCGATCCCATAAAACATTTTTTACTGCTGGACGATATCTTTTAAATCGTGCGTTTGAGTCACACCTCATCCCAGACAAGTAATCTCCAAACTCTCCCACGGTCAGGAAGCCGCGTCGCACTCACTATATTATAGCTTCTACTGCTGCAAAAGCTCCGGAAATCTGCTTCTACTGTCCCACTCTCAAACTATCATTATCTCGACACACAAGTGTTCTACTCACGCTCAACATGCTCCTGTCCATTATTACCGAAATTACTCTTTCCTCACTTGGCCCCAGAACCTGCACATCATCATTTACTTCAACTTTGAAATTTTCGTGAGGATCGTGCTTTTGGAAATCTGCCGTTCATCCATCGAGAAATCACAGCGCGAACTTACTGGCAGGAAGATTTTCGGCTCCAACTCCATCCCGGCGTTCTGACTGCTCCTGTCTGTGCTTGGGTAACCTGATGGTACCTCAGCCTTCGTGATTCCTTCGAAGTAGCGTGGTAGATGGGCACCGGAATCGCATCAACAACTGGACGGCTATTTCTTTAGCACCTTGGACTGGTGTTATGATTTGAGTTTTGCTTGCGAACCAATAAGATTCGTTGAGCAACCAAGTCCAAACAGGATGAACTGGGCCCCAGCCAAAAGAGAATATCCCAAACCAGTGAGTTTGACCTCAGCCGCCCTCATTTCGTTGCCAAGGCTTGCCCTCCGGGGATTTTTCGCCAACAATAGTTCGGAAGCAGCAGCTGCTTTAGTGGATGGTAGCCGGGCATTTATGAGACACATCCCAACAATCTTAAGCTGATGGTTAAACTATTCTGATTTGTTGCCGACCGCCAGTTTACGCACCACTTCGTTCCATACACGACAACCAACTAGTCTTTCCTGTGCCCCGCAGATGTCGATGAGAAATTTTTTGAAGATGTTTTGAAGTCCTCCGATCGGAGGTCCGTAACTCCCATCAGTTTCCGTGTACACGCGGCTTTTTGGCTTCAGCAAAATTCCCTTCTGATAGCATAGCTGGCGCAGACTGGGGAACGCTGATCAGGCCTTGGTAATGCGCATCTAATTCATCCATTAAGCACAAGCACGGCTTACGTAAGTGAAATAACCGTTATACGTGAACTTGGTTCCCGGTCAAAATCCTGCTTGATGCGGTCGGGGATGTAACTCACCTCCCGAAGTTAACCGCCGCAATATTAGGGAGACCAGCACGGTGCTGCGACAGGCGTGAGGATATTAGCTCTTTGGTTATCAGTCTAGTCGGATAAAATTTTGAGTACAAGAATGACCAACGGTTGGCCCCGACTCTCTGAAACGTTTCGTTCCCCGTTAGTTTGGAACACTTCGGTAAAGGTAGAACAAAAGTTACCTCCCGTCTGTAAATAAAGCTGGAAAGATATTAGCTGGTCCCGTAGCTACAAGGCGCTTTGGAGCAGAAAGACGTATGATTCCTTATGTATATATATATATATATATATATATATAATGACAGCGAAACAATACACCGACTGTAGATTAGGACGTTTCACAAACTTCAAATACATTTATCGCGCACGATACTTCAAATTCAGTGGCCGGGATAAATAAGGTGTGATTCGATTATAAAACTAGTCAGCAGAGGAGACATCGGCGGTTGAATATTTTGGCTTATCCGTCCTCCCATATGCAGGTGACCCAGTCGATGTGGTGTGAAGTTAGCTGGGCGAACATACAGCCAAATCACTCGATTTTAGACGGATGATTAGAACTCCCAAGTAAAATCCCAGGCCCAAAGCCTGACCATGGTGGCGTAAGGCTACCAGAGCAGTCAAGATTCTAAGGAACGAGTTCCGACATTTGTTCCAATCTTCAGTTTGCAAGACCACTGGCCAAACTGGAAGGAGACTATAACTGTTACATAGCATCCTCCACCATAGATCAGTAGGTTGCTCAGATGCGCGAGCCGTCAAGCCGTGATAAGGACCCTTGCCATTCTACATGCGTACGTGAATCATAACTGTTGAATCGGAGTGATTATATGAAAAGTAATTTTGGTAGAAAGGCACTGTGGAGAGAATCGGGAAAGGCGTTTTAGAGAGAAGGCGTTGCAAGGCGGTATACTGTTAAGCTTCACACTGGTGTCAGTCTATCACAAATTAGGACAATTCATAAACACGTCCAGTATAATGATCTTACCTGTCAAAATAAGAATAATGAAACACACTCAGTCTGGATCGCACCACAGCAACATAAACTGTGCCCTTGACAGACAAACTAACGTCAAGTGGGCGTCATGTGTGTCCGAGGTTGGCAAAAACTGCCCTGGCCTTTCTGATTCGAGAAGCAATGTCATCTCCAACCAGTCCACCGGAACTTATACAACAGACCAGGTAAACCAATTTATTTACCACGTCGATCGGCTCATTTGTAAGCATGAGGTGTGGGTTTGATCCCACTCAGTCTTGTAGCAGTACTTTACACTTAGCAGGTGTGAAGCGCATGCCAAACCATGCGGTTATTTAGAATTGTTTGCCTCTGGAAGGAGTTTGAATCGAAGAGAGCAATATTGTCCGCATGCTGAATGTCTCTGAGGGGACGTCCCGGGAGTCCTTCGACTCCCGAGATTTCAGACACAGGCAGATAAATTTCAAGCAGCATACCAATAACAAAATTGAAGAGGAAAGATGAGAGAGGACACCCTTGTCTGACACCACCGTACGCTTCGCTGACAACTGTCTTCCTTTGACCGGTTGATCGAATCAGGTGAAACAGGGCGCAGCGGAAGTTTTCTTCACCTCCTGGGTCTTTGAAACCCTCTCTTCAAGCTCCTGATTATCCGGCGTTTAGGGATCTCCGGGCGCCATTACCGTCGCTCGCTGTTGGTACGGCCTTTATCGTAGCATTAAGATATGGTAATATCGATGATAACCAGTGTTCATTTAGTCAAGTCGGACGACCTTCAGAAAGCTGAGAGCATGGCTTCTTTAACTCGCCTCCGTTCGAGCTCCAAGCAATCTTCGTCATCCGTATGACTGTGCATTTCAAGTCACTTTCTAGCCACATCAAATCATTACACTTGAGCTACTGAAGTTGATGTACGGAGCTATTCTCCTTTGGTACGCGTCATGCTGATGGAAGGCGAAGTCCCGACCAGGCCTGCATTATCACAGTCAAGCTGCGTACCCCAGAAATAATGACAATCATTAATTGACGCTATACATCCGTAACCGATAGCCGCATGGTCTAATGGGCTCCATAACTGTCTTGTCCTACAAGCAACTTGGTATGAGCATTTCTGTTGGAAGTTCGTACTATCCAGGAACAGATGGTGATTCGCATACAACTTAGAATCACTCCCCATTATCCGTACGCTCAACGTCAGCTCCAAATCTGCGACCTACCTGTGCTTCTTCCGGATTTAGTTGTCCAACTTGGGCATCCATAACATCCGCCAGGATTACTATATTAATCCTTCATGCAGACCAAAGAAGTGATGACATATCTTGGTAAAACTCATCCGTCTCACTCTCAGAACTGCTATCTGTGTGCTGACATGATAAATAAACGCGGTTTACCCACATTAAACCTAATCGAGCCAGACAACGGCACAGCGCAAAGACGACTGTTTACTGGAATTGAGTCCGGTAAGGCATTCTTTACCTTGAGATTGAGTGTAACTCCCACACCGTAAATACCAGGGGCGATTGGGTCAGGATCACTCGATGCCCAAAGAGTGAAATGTGAAACATCTAGGCTCGTCCGAAGCGGCTTGAAGAGCGCAGAGTTGAGTCTTTTTGCGCGTTTTGTGGACAACATACATTGACAGAGGGAAAAAGCAATGGATACCTGTTGTTTCATTTGACATAGATTGCGGACATTAAAGGCTACAACATGGATCAGATCTTTTTAGGTTGGTAAACGGTGATTTGGGTCTATTTTTCTGGGCGGAGGTTCAAACACGGAGTGGTGGCTAGTAAATATCAGGTGGGTTGATTGTACTGCATTTTTTGATGAGTGAGAAGGGAGTTTGGGAGAAGACCAGTGAGCAAAGATTTGCAAGGGTAAACGATACCTCCAGGTTGCCCAGGCCGGAGAAGAGGACTTAGTTGAGGTATCCTATCTTGAGACTTTGACTCAAAAGTCTGACCCACAGAGCGGCGGAAGATGTAGGGTTTCGTTCTGAACCAATGCTTCCTACCTCTGACTCAAAAATATCGACCGCGATACAGCGTTTGGTTGGGTTTTTCCGGGGAACCTTCGCGGCTTCAATGACTGACACATTTCGCTGCAAGGAGCTGGTCCGGTCTTTTGACAGATGGCATACAGCATTGCTACGTCACTTCTAATGCAGCTGCGCACTGCAGGTTACTTTTTTGCGCAGTACTAGACTCTTTTTTAAAAATTGTTTTGATAATATTTAATAATGCGGCGGCGGTAACGGTCAACCGTTGGGCGATCGGAGTGTGCGGTTTTTGGGGCCGACTTTTTCTAATCCGTCCTTCCTCAGGGGAAGGCAGCATCGCTGCTTCCATAAATATGGACATGCTAGTAGCCTGGGGGAGACACCTTACTGCCTTCACACTCCTGTCGCAGAGGACAGTACGACTTTACCCCTAGACCGCCTCGTAGCACGATTACTCGTAGTACGGGGTCTCGCTGCTCTTGGTCTGGCTGCTCCCCTTTGGCCTTCCTGGCATGGTTGCACCATGTGGAACGAAGTTTCAGCCGGTGTAGCCTGCGGGATCGCTGCAGCACTCAAGCCCGACCCCCACGTCAAGGTGGCAGCTTTAGATCGGGATATATATATATATATATATATATATATATAATGACAGCGAAACAATACACGACCTGTAGATTAGGACGTTTCACAAACTTCAAATACATTTATCGCGCACGATACTTCAAATTCAGTGGCCGGGATAAATAAGTGTGATTCGACTGTAGATTAGGACGTTTCACAAACTTCAAATACATTTATCGCGCACGATACTTCAAATTCAGTGGCCGGGATAAATAAGGTGTGATTCGATTATAAAACTAGTCAGCAGAGGAGACATCGGCGGTTGAATATTTTGGCTTATCCGTCCTCCCATATGCAGGTGACCCAGTCGATGTGGTGTGAAGTTAGCTGGGCGAACATACAGCCAAATCACTCGATTTTAGACGGATGATTAGAACTCCCAAGTAAAATCCCAGGCCCAAAGCCTGACCATGGTGGCGTAAGGCTACCAGAGCAGTCAAGATTCTAAGGAACGAGTTCCGACATTTGTTCCAATCTTCAGTTTGCAAGACCACTGGCCAAACTGGAAGGAGACTATAACTGTTACATAGCATCCTCCACCATAGATCAGTAGGTTGCTCAGATGCGCGAGCCGTCAAGCCGTGATAAGGACCCTTGCCATTCTACATGCGTACGTGAATCATAACTGTTGAATCGGAGTGATTATATGAAAAGTAATTTTGGTAGAAAGGCACTGTGGAGAGAATCGGGAAAGGCGTTTTAGAGAGAAGGCGTTGCAAGGCGGTATACTGTTAAGCTTCACACTGGTGTCAGTCTATCACAAATTAGGACAATTCATAAACACGTCCAGTATAATGATCTTACCTGTCAAAATAAGAATAATGAAACACACTGCGAAGGTAGTGTGCAGTGATCGCATGTGTGGCCGACAGATACCAAATCATGGGCCGTGTAATTCAAGAATCAGTGACATCAACTGAAAGATAATAAAAAGCTGGTTAGTTGTTGTCCGCGATGCCGCTACAAGGGTCTTGAGCGAAATGTTCCCAGGTATCAGTGCTAGAAGTGGTGCCTAACTGTGTCTCAACTGTCTTTAATTTCGAAACGCTCGCTGGGAAAAGGGTTTAACTGCATGCTGCTTCGGCGAAAATAGTTTAACCCATTAACTTACTGGTTTTCGGGTATGTTACGTCCCAAGCCCAAGCGCGAAAATGTTTCATGTTCATTCTACTACACCAACCAATCACTGAATGTAACAAGGAACTGGTTTCTGGTCTCTGTAGGTCGTCCCTCAAAATATACGGAGAAAAATGGTAGTTGTGATGGCTATAACGCATTCTTCACGAAATGTGACCACGATGAACATTCATATCCCACCCCCGAAATGTGTCAACAAACAACGAAGCTTCCATCAGAAAAACTCAATGTCACCTGGTTGTATGAAAAGGGCTCCTCGGGAAAGTCGGTCGACAAGGATACGGAGCACGTAACCAAATCAGCGCACTCTATGAGGTATGACCAGTTCATCTGTCATGAGCGAGTTATTTCTTCGGAAAACTTATTGACACACTTAAGCACTACTGATCCAGAGTTACCACCAGACTCGGACAACGCTCCGAAGACATCGACGGTCCAGCACTGACATCCTGAACACAGTGGCCAGGTTTTTAATCCGTATAACAATATGGAGAGCGCCGCAGTCATCATCATCATCGACCGCATGACATCAGTGTTCAACACCAATGCTTCACTGCCGTACAGCCATGACTTATTTGAAAGCCTTATTGTAAAGAAAACAATAGAGGTGGGTGGGGGTGGGACTTAGTGCTAGCTTAACACAATCATTCCGAGGTGC